TCTATTCACTGCTCTCTAAAATAGTAATTTCAATTCAGCCTTTATTTATACAGGTTGTTAGTCTCATTGAGCCTCGAGGACTCATTTACAAGAGAGGCCTGTTCAATTTAATCAAATGTTAACAGATGTTTAACAACCTGTTAAAATACAGGAAATGGCATCTCTTATATTCCAAATTTTCTGGGGGAGGACCCACAAAACCCCCACCCCCCTCGGTGTTCTAGCAGCAATTGGTTTACAAATTAAGCCCTGGTTATAGTCCAGATACTTCTCAATCTAAATTTTTTCCTAATTCATTTTTACATGTTTGATACAAATCACTAAACAAGAGAAGAACTGTCACCGAAAACTACAGAAGAGCTGCTATGGGAACTTGGATGTTTTAGTGTGGGGTACATGTGTTGAGATATGACATGGCCCAGAAAGCCCTCAAAGGTAGTACATCTCAAAGTATGCCTTCTAAAAACCCTCAAAATTTCTGGTGATTCTCTGAAAAACAATCATGTAAAACAATGTAATAATGTTTAAAAGCTTTAGATGTTTAGAGACAATATTTTGAGGTGAATCTAGGTTAGTCTGTGAAGATCCACAACTTCTCCTCCTCCTCCATAACCCTCAGCACTGGCTCTCCTCAGGGTTGTGTGTTGAGCCCTCTCCTGTTTACTCTGCTCACATATGACTGATATGACTGTGCGCCTACCCATCAAGGTTGTCATATTGTAAAGTTTGCAGACAATACAGGGGTGGTGGGATGCATCACAAACAACTGTTTAACATTTGTTTAGTGTATATCTTAGATCCTTATATACTGTTTCTTTGTATATTTTATATTTTGCCATTTATGGGTGTAACTGGGACATTGCGAATGTAGGATGTAATGTAGGAACTTTCTACTGACAAAAATATTTTACTTTAATTTTAACATTGTGACAAATTGAGGAGCAAAGAAAATAAATCTTTCTTCTCATATTTCTGTTATGATTTGATTGGCCCTGATATTCTGTTGTAATATGGATACAAATACCGTTTAAATACGTTTTGTACAATACATTTTTAATTACACGTAGTAAATTTTAATTTCACTCAAATTGTGGTTCTAAATATGGATCAACAGAGCCGTAGAGGAACACCTTAGTGACACAAACATCTACACATAAAATCTGCAAAGTATAAAAAAGTCCACAGTCCGCAGTATTTGTGAGTGTAATACTTACTGGGATCTGTGTTAATTACTGTCATCTCTGCTACATTCTTGTTTGGTCTGTAAGCAATCTCATTAAGCCATGGCTGGAGGTCGATATAAGCATCACATACTTTATAAATTATAAAAAGGAAGTAGTCACAGGCTTCCTCCCCTTTGCACTGAACTAGCTCCAAGATTTTGCGTACCTGAAAGTAGAGAAAATGCAAAAAGTTCACATTGGTCGTATCTCCGTATTTAAAAGGATTAGATGGGACGCCCCACCTGGTTTGGTTTGGTTACAGTTCGTTGGACAATCTCAACATCCTCCTCACAGAAGAAGCCACAGGCCAGCAGGTTATCCAGGAGGCACTGGATGCTCCTGAGCCTGGAGACAAACAGCTCTCTGTGCTGGGTCAGGAGGTTGACGCATGACTCGTGTCTGTCTGTCTCGCCCATTACTGCAGTTCATCAATCGCATCTGTGGAGCAGCAGCAGACAAGAATGCAGAAGGAATTTCACCACTGTATCAGTTTTATGATCATAATGACGCACTATTAACTCAAACATTTTACCCTCTATCTCTCACACACTCGTGCTGCTGCTAAGACTGAGCTTGTTGCAGCTCCTCATACTGAAGAAGTATTTTGGACAAAAGACAAAATGTTTCAACAAGAAGAACCTTACCAGAGGACCTGACTCCACCTTGTTAGATATATTTTACATACATACATACATATATATACATACATACATGCATACATACATATATATACATACATGCATACATACATATACAGGTCCTTCTAAAAAATTAGCATATTGTGATAAAGGTCATTATTTTCCATAATGTAATGATAATGATAGTGGGATGCATCACAAACAATGATGAGTCCAGCTACAGGCAGGAGGTGGAACACCTGGAGAGCTGGTGCAGAGAGAATAACCTTCACATCAATGTGAAGAAGACAAAGGAGATGATTGTGGACTTCAGAAGGAACAAAAACACCTACACCCCCCTGAACATAAGAGGATCTGCGGTGGAAGTGGTCTCCAGCTACAAGTACTTGGGTGTACACATGAATGACAACCTCAGCTGGAGCAACAACACCACCAGCCTGATCAAGAAAGCTCATCAGAGACTCTACTTCCTCAGACGGCTGAGGCGAGCTGGTCTGGGAAGCTCAGTCCTCACCTCCTTCTACAGGTGTGCAGTGGAGAGCATCCTGTGCTCGAGCATCAATGTGTGGCATGGAGGCTGCACAGCTGCAGAAAGAAAAGCTTTGCAGAGAGTGGTGAAGGCTGCACAGAAATCTGTTGGAATCAGTCTCCCCACCATCACAGACATCTACACCTCCAGATGCAGGAAGATGGCCACCTGCATCATGAAGGGCCCCACCCACCCAGCACACACACTTTTTGCCCCACTCCCCTCAGGAAGGAGGTTAAGGAGCATTAAGTGTAGAACCACTAGACTGAGGA